AAACCTGATAGGGTAGTTCATTTAGGGAAAAAGTACTTACTGATGGTTAGCCTGGTTGCGATGTTGCTGCACCTGCAAATATCTTCTGGTGTACTCTTTTTATATTTTTCTGTTTTTTTCATAGTTCCACAGTAGTAAACGCCTTCATTAGCATCAGTGACATTTGTAATCAGCAGGTCGAAGGAACTAGAAGAAGAGTTCGGCATAAATTTAAAATGTGGAAATGGCCGTTGATGGGCCCAGAAGAGATTTTTTATTACAAGAGTTGGCTGGTTTTCATGAGAACAATTCCTGAGCCAGACTATGTCTTCTTCAGTCGTCAATTTGCAGGGACAATAGAGGGTGACGTTGTCTCCAGGCCCGACAGTCCTCTCCTTCACTGATCCAGAGATTCCATCATGATGGCAGGAACCAACACCTGGAAGAAATGAACAGCTCCTTGAAACAGTTTCTTTCCTTTTCTGGTCAAATGTTTAAAAAGACAGCACTAAAACAAACGTACCGAGCCAAACAAAATGACCCAAGAGAACAGCAGCAATCAGAAGCAGTCGGTCCATAGCTGATGACGACCTGACAGGCTAGAAGGAAGTGTGACTTTAAGTACTTCAGACTGATGTGAACTGCTCAAATATTTCCATTAAGGGTGGCGTTGCTTGTGATTGGCTGGTCAAATGGAACATTTTACTCTGTGGTTGTCAGTTAGGCTGCAACGCTAGATGTGCTGTGTGATGATTGGGGTTAGCACCCATTACAAGCATGAAGACCGCCTGTTAGGCACTTGCAGGTCATAAATGCCTTTCGCTGACCCTACAATGTGGCCACTTGTTGTAAGTGAGTAAGTGTGCCATGAAACGTGGAGGAGGATCATTTCAGTTGCTACAAAAAAACAAAAATAAATATGTGGAGGGGGTGTGGCGCTCAGCTGCAGGGGGGAGGAGGTGTGGAGATGGCTCAAGGGAGCAGTGTCAGGGGAGATGATTGGGCACACCTGAAACCAGTTGCCTAATCACTCTCCCCTCTGTAAAAACAGTAGCATGCTGGACCTGGGGGGAGAGCTGGAGCAGAACCCAGGCCACAAGCTTGGGACCGAGCAGGAGGACGCTGCACCGAAACCAAAGAGCCCTAGCCGGGCGTGCGTGCGTGAGTGTGTGTGTGTGAGAGAGGGTGTGTGCGTGGCACACATGCTCAAAACAAATAGTTGGAACAACCACTTCTGGTCTCGGGGGAACTCTGTCGGATACCCACGGTGGCACGACTGCCACAAGTGGCGCCCAACGTGATCTGACGAGAGTGCGGAGGCAGCATGGCTGAGCCGCAGCAACCTATTCTGGCGCTGGCCCAGATGCTTGCGGAGATGGCCGCCATGAGCCGGGACCAGGCTGCCCTGAGCCGGCAGCAGCTGGGGGCACTGCTGGCGCAGACGGAGCGGCAGACTGCACTACTGGAGGCGGTGGTGGAGCGGGCGGCGGCTCCGCCAAGGGGCCCGGCGATCGCCAGGATACAGTTGCACCGGCTGACTGAACAGGATGACCCGCAGTCGTTCCTGGGCATGTTTGAGGCCACGGCGACGGCGTG